GAGAAAGCAATATTCACAAACTTTTCAAATATCTTGGTACGAAACCTAGGTATAAGTGACTATGCCGAAGAATTTATTCTTGTTCTGTTGGCATTGTTTTTATTAGGCCGCATCAAAAACAATTGCAGTTCAGGGGGTGGGTATTTCGATTGCTCTGATATTTTATTTGTTTTATATGTATATATATTTTTATCCATCCATATAAATATGTTTTTAAGTTCCAGATATACATATATTTTAAAATTTAAAAAAACGAATTTATGTTTTTGAGTTTCGCAATTTGGGTTAAGATTGCTTTGATATTGTACATATTAAAAACATTTTGAGTTGAACGGATAAATTAAACATAAAACATTTTAAACGTTTTTTAAAAACAATAAAAAAAGTATCATGAAGACTATATGATAATTTTGCTGCGGGTAGAACGTACAGAGAGATTTTCACCTTTACCCTTTAAAAATCGTTTGAGAATGTATAATAATTCCTTTTATTTTATCTCATATATAAATTCCTTAATATTCCAAACGTATATATAAAATCTGCGCTCCAAATTTAATGAATGCAAAAAATAAAAAAAAATTAATATTTCATCGATTTTTTAAGACATTGAAAGCTTTTGCACAAAAACTAATTTCAAGAAGGTTAATAATTAATCTGGCCTTCAATAATTTAAAGTAGCTATCGGAAAATTCAAAGCAATAGACCTGTGATTTTAACTAATTGAAAAATTTGTTAGCATAAAAATTAAACCTAAAGTTTTAAAATTTGTTTTAAATATTACCAAAGTCCAATTGATATCCTACCAATACCATAGGAGACCATATGTATATGGTGGGACCCTCTACTATTGACGGAAGGTGGCAGAAAATTAAAATGCATTTTAAAAGACCTTAACCAAAACATTTTAAAACCACTTCATAGATATAGTCGTGGCCAAATCAACGGCATATGACGTCAGCGTTAAGGTCTATTCATACGTGCCCAGGCACAATCTAACGCTCGTGTATTGTTGACTGTTTATAACGTTGGGGGCTGTTTATTAAGATGGAATTTGTTATAATCTTTTACACGGATTTTTATTACATTTGTACATAACAAAAAATATTAAGTTACCAGTCGTCTTTGTCGTCAGAGTGAACCAGGTCAGACTTGGAGTCTGATTATTTTCCTAAATGTATTATTAAGGGCGCAATGTCTCCGCAATCTAATAACTGTTGGCGTTGCCAACAAGCCTTGTAACATTGTTTGCACAATCTAGTGGTAGAATATGATAAACACAATGTATAAAATTATTTATATATAAATAGTATAGTAATCTTCAACAAACGATGCTTATAAGCATCTTCGGTATACGGACGAAATGTCAAACAAATGTTTGTAAAATTACTACATTTTTACTAAGCAGTTGCACTTAGTAAAATTACAAAATGTTGTATTGTATTGCAATTTAAATAGGTACGCATTTGTTGTAATATTACATTTTTTTATAGTCAAAGTACTAAACAGGTTCCAATTTTACAATGTTTTTGTTTTTGTCAGATACTGCAGAATTGAATTTGAAATTTTGTAAAATGTCTATACATATTCGGAATTTAATTTTAAGATAATCAATAAAATTGCTAACCAAAATTTGCTATTTGAATTACAATAAGTGTTTGGAAATTTACAAATCATTATTTATTTTATACAACTTCTGTTTGTATTCTTACTAAATATCATTTTAATCATGTACATTGTTAAAATTATTTGTAAAATTACAATTGTTTTTCAAAACAAAGGATGAGTAAAATTACAAATCAGTGTATACCAGGGCCGGATTTAGGACGGGGCCAGCGGGGCCACGGCCCCAGGGCCCCCACCATTTAGGGGCCCCCACCAATGCAATATGTAGCTTTTTAATAAAACGAATATGAAAAAAATTAGCGAAAAAATAAAAAATTGGGTCGGTTATACCGCGCGAATTCTGTAATTTTCAATTAATTTTTCGTAGATCTAACTCTAATTTTTCGCGGATTTTTTATCGATTATCCGCTTGAATTCAGGATGTAAACTATCACGCTCAAAGTTTTGGCGTGCGAAGACGTTTTTATGTAGTCTATAGTCATAAGTTATGACTCAAAACAATTGCTCCTTTACTGCTTTTCGTAACGTTTTTGTAAATACAGGCAAACAGTCAATTACTTATAATCTAATATTAAAGTTAGTTTTTGTCCCAGATTTTTATTGGTACATTGGAGTGTTGTGGAATATTTTCCGGTGTTTCCGAAATAATGTTTCGTTCTTTTCTTTGGACAAAACATTGTTTTATTATTGATGATTTTGTATGAAAAACAGACAAATAATACGACTTTTGATGCACTTTTTTTCAGTTTGCGGTAAGTATTAAAAATACAAACAAAACATCGATCAATTTATATTTTACTTGAGTAAAATATATATAAGGTTATGTTCGTATTATTCAAAATATATAAAATATAAAGTATATACAAACACTTTCATTCACAATTCTATTCTACTATCTACGTTTTTATAGTTTGCATACGAATTTATAATTTCTCAGACTTGGGTAAAATGTATATGGTTATGTTCGTATTATTCAAAATATACAGGGTGATTCAGACTTGTGGTGACAAAAGCTCAGGGGAAATTCATCAAAATATGAAAAAAGTTCCTATAAACACGTGTCCAAAAAAGCTTCATTATCGAGATACAGGGTTTTTCGTTTAAAAAAAATTAGTTTTTTATTTATAGCTTAAAAACGCTTTGGCCAATTTTATTAAAAATTTATATGGTTTATTAAATAATAAATGATTCAAGGATAATAAAAAATCACGTAAAGTTCCTCTAGCTTAAAAATTTACCATGAGTTTCAATTTTTTTTAGAAATATTGAGGGCCCCCACCAAATGTCGGCCCCAGGGCCTCAAAACTCTTAATCCGGCTCTGGTGTATACCAATACAAAATTATAATACAATTTGAGTAATCTTCCAAGACATGTTGGGAAATATACTAAGATAAGAGGCAATTTTACAATCTATATGTATAAATTCTACGCGCATTGTAATTTTACTAAACAGTTTGACGATTCTAATAAAAATCATCTCAGATTTACAAACGTTCTTTGTAATTTGATTTGCTATAATGTTATGTAAAATGCATAGTATGTACCGATTGCTGCAATCACGTGATGTCCTTACATCTCGCATCGGTTTACTTAGGTGGACAGTATATAAGCTCAGGTGTATTTCGTTTTTGATGTGTTCCAATACAAACAAACAACAAACAAATTGCCCGGTATTTGAAGTTGGTGGAACTCTGGCGAGGTGAAGGTTCAATTTTATAATACCATCATTCATTAATTACTAAATATTTTTAATGTAATTTGCTGTAGAAAATAACAATATTTGTATTGAAATATTGCGAAACGAATATTCTTCATTTCAGTAAAATTGTAAAAATATATTTTGTAATTTTCTTAAACTGAGTTAAAATAAATTGTATAGTATAATTACAATACACCATTTTAATTTTTTTAGCAAATTTACAATACCTGTATAGTAATGTTACTAAACAAATTTTTAATAAATGCTTAGTGAATTTCAACAAACGTTTTGTAATTTTCCCAAATTAAGTGGTAATGAATCGTGTGGTGAATTTACAAAACTGAGTTTTATTATTACTATGTTGTGGTGCGTAAAAACTTCCTAAACATGTTTAGTAAAATTACAATTGAAATTTTTAACAGTGTACATCCTGTTTTTTCTCTCACGTAACCCATTAAAATAAACCAACATAAAAAGCACAATAGTATCATTTATAAGACCTAATTAAAATTGACTGCCGATTAATTCGAACAAAGTGACAAACGTATAAAGTGAACCTTGGTAACGACCCGACTTAGGGAAACAATGAATGAAATAAACACGATTTTACAACTGCATATTGCAGTTCGCTCAAACTGAATGAAATAATGGACACAATAGCGCACCAAATGCATCAAACCGAAAATGCATACCAATAAACCTGAATAATTTAATTTAATCCCCTTTCGCTACATCGACTAAAATATTAATAGTAGGTTATTTATAGTGATGAAATAATAAAAAAAACAGTTTATTAAATTTTTATTTTGACTAGCATCGCTAGTAGTTTTTTAGTTTTTACTTGCAACGCGAAACACAAATAACGTGCGCGATTTAGCTGTGCAATTGAACAAAATTTGTCGTGTGCTTAAAATGTATTTGTTGACAATTCTTGAGTTCACACTGCTATCGAACACCACCAAATGGCGAACGTGTTTTTAGTCAGCAAAAACAACAGGATTTTTTTATAAAAATGTTAAAGATTGCGAATTTCAAAGTGTTTTAATCATATATTATATCACGAGAACTATGAATTTAATCGATTAAACTAGGCTTGGTAGTTTTTTGTTTGGTTTTTCTTGGAAAATGTTGAATGCAAAATAATTTAATAAAATCACGAGACCGCGTAGCGGTCGAGGGGTTTATTTTTAATTATTTTGCATGAAACTATAGTTTGGAAAATATATTTTCCAAAAAGAAAAATCAAATAAAAAACTTACTGGGCATAGTTTGACAGATTAAATTTATAGGTTGAGTGATATATGTACGTCTAGATTATTTCTCGAATTAAAGGAAACTATTTGACAATTCATAAAATCTGACGTATGTGTCAAAATTTATAAATATTTTTTTAAAGAAAATTCCATTAATTTAAGGTATGTAATAAGTAATAATTGATATTTCGTAAACTAGATAACTTATTTTTTATTGTTTTTTAAAAAATGTTTGTTAAAACTTGTAAATAACACCATAAAATCGTAAACAAAAATCCAATATGGAGGCTAAAATTTAATCGCTGTTAAATAGTTCTAGTGATTTAATCGCTTATTTAAACGAAATTTATTCGAAAATTCAAGGCTTTTGATTGGTTCATATTATAATGAGGGAAATAATCAGTGTTACCTATTTTATCCTTACCTGGCACAAGCCTGGGCCCGTTGACAGTAGTAGATAGCGTGTTTCCGCTGCCATATTTGACGTGCAACGGGTCTGCATTGCTGGAGACGACGGCTATCTCGTCGAGCTCGTGGCCGTCATCGTTTGCCCCCCGGTCCCCAAGACGGCCCCCTCCTGGCCCCCCGCCGATCGCGACGCCGCTGTCCTGCGACTGTTTGCGGCCTCTCCAGCTCAGGACCAGTCGTTTGGCGGTGGACATCACGCCATGCCCCACCCCCCCGAAATATATTTCCCCCACGACCACGGTTCAAACACCCACGCTGAAAACGAATTAAACAATCTATAAATCATTTAAATTTATGCAGTGGCGTAACTACCCAAGTAGCACAACTATTTATAGGCAAATTAAACTTGCATTTACCTATTGGTTTAGTTTAACTTTTGATAATACTTTTTATTATTAATTTATATTTTTTAACCACCGAGTTTTACCAAATATAACTCCTGGACAAAATTAACGCAACATCAAAAAATTTGCCACATTTTTTATGCTATTTTTTTGTTGAATTTATGATCCGATTTAAATGATTTTTGTTTTGCATTGTAGGTTGGTTCCTTGACAATGTCATAATTTTCGCTGTTTATGATAAAAAGTTTATTTTGGATTTATACCGGGTGTAATAAAAATGTACTGTTTTTTCCCGAAAATTCGTATCACCCTGTGGAGTATACTAGCAACCAAAACCTATAGCAGTTAACATTAGACGGTAGGTCCATATTTCGCCAACATATTCTTTTTTGGTTTACTTCATTATCTCTGTTATTAAAGGAGATACGCTGTTTCATAGCGTAACATGTTTTTATAGATTTTATTATTCAAAACATTAATTGTTAAATGTTTTCAAGTAGGCTATGGAAAATTCGCCATACTTATAACAACTGTTCGAAAACTGCTTATTAAATGTTCGTTTCGTATTTTAATCTTGAAAAATGAATCGTCCAAAAAATTTTTCGACAGAAGAAGCAGTAAGAGACTTAACTTTGGTGAATGAGGGCTATTCGATGTCATGTTGCTAATGTGATAGGAAGACATCGTTCGACTATAAGTCGTATGGTTAAACGATTTAACGAGACAGGATCTTACTCTTCAAGGTCAGGACAAGGGCGAAAACGATGTACCGATCCAAGGGATGAGCGTTTTATTAGGCAAACTGCTCTAGAAACAGGAAGATTACTAGTACAAGGCTAAAAAGTGAGCTTAGAACTGCTCGCCATAATACAATATCGTCTCGAACAATCAGGAGACGTTTAAATTAAAGAAACAATTACTTACCAGAGAGCACAGAGTTTCAAGATTGCGTTTTGCCAGAAATTATCAACATTGGACTGTTAATGATTGGAAGAAGGTTTTATTTTCTGATGAAACGAGAGTTACTCTTAATTCTCCTGATGGTGTGAACGTGTTTGGCGAAGGTCAGGAGAGAGATTTGCAAGTGGCAATATCTCTCCTAAAATCCCGTTTGGTGAAGACTCAGTAATGATTTGGGGAGGAATATGCTTCAACGGACGCACAGAGTTAGTCCCTATACGTGTAAGATCAATGAACGCCGATTATAATCTAGAAAACATGTAATGCCATTTGTTCCTTTTTTGGGACCTAATAGTTTATTTATGCAGGATTATGCATTTATCAAAGCGAGCAGAAATTATACAATTATACAAATACTCTAAACATCTCTTGAAATGTCAGAAAAGGTCCATAGCCTACTTGAAAACATTTAACAATGATTGTTTTGAATAATAAAGTCTATAAAAACATGTTACGGTATAAAACGGCGTATCTCCTTTAATAACAGAGATAATGAAGTAAACCAAAAAAGAAAATGTTGGCGAAAGATGAATCTACCGTCTAATGTCAACTGCTATTTGTTTCGGTTGCTAGTATACTCCACAGGGTGATACGAATTTTCGGAAAAAAACATTACATTTTTATTACACCCGGTATAAATCGAAAATAAACTTTTTATCATAAACAGCGAAAATTATGACATTGTCAAGGAACCAACCTACAATGCAAAAAAAAAATCATTCAAATCGGATAATAAATTCAACAAAAAAATAGCATAAAAAATGTGGCAAATTTTTTGATGTTGCGTTAATTTTGTCCAGGAGTTTATTTCAACCCGCTGGTAAATTAATGTTGATTAATAAACTGGTTAAAAAAGTGATGGTTTTGCAGTTTTCATTATTACCTGCATTGAAAAATTAGTCTCAATACAGCTTTATATATAAACCTAAAGGTTGTGTTTTGTGTGATAATGGAGCCTAAAAGAAATAATTTAAAAAATATAAACTTTCTTATAGTTAATATAAGAGTTAACAAAGTTGTAAATCATTATTTATCTACAAATCTTAAAACAGTCCCTTCTCATTTAATTAATTTGGTAAACATTTATATTAGGGGTGTGCGAATAATTCGTTCCGAATTGAAAATTCGAATTATTCGAAAGTTCCCGAATAATTCGTAAAATTTCGAATAATTCGAAAATTTTCGAATAATTCGAATTTTTGAGTATTTGGAATTCAGGGTTTCTTATGTTCAATATTCAAATATGAATTTAACAGGTATACATTTTATTCAAACCATGAAATAAAGTTACACAAATAGAACAATTAGTATAGTTTTTTTTTAAAGAGTATGAAATAACAGAAATTATATCGTAGCAAATACAGTATTACGAAAAATACAGCATTTGAAAATTTGCTACAAATTTTTGTTTAAAAATAATAAATACGATACTGAAACATTACATGAGTAATCTTTTTCTTATAGATTTTTTTTAAACAAAATTTAATAATTAATAAAACCAAAACAAATAGAAAATATCTCTTGCCAATGTTACCATCTAGATTTTTATGTTACCGAAAGAGATTTCGAATTATTCGATTTTTTCGAATTATTCGTAGAATTTCGAATAATTCGAAAATTCAAATTATTCGATTCGAATTTCGAATCAAATATCAATATTCGATTCGATTCGATTCAAACGATATTCACACACCCCTAATTTATATGTTTTATCACAACAGATGTGTTTTATAAAAATAAACCAGGGCTGCAACTAAAATCAGAACGTAAGATCGGAGGGAATTTTTTTAGGTTAGTTATTATAAAAATAACAAGTTAGTTTAATTTAACTATTTTTGGTAATTATTAACTATAATGTTTTACATTAACCGAATTCAAACCAAAACCTAAGAGATATAAATTAGCGATATGTAAATAAAGTAGTTAAACTAAACACAATAAAATAACCGAATTGTTTAAATAAATTTGCAGGTTAATTTAAATTGGTTATATAACCTATAAGTAAAAGCATCCTAAAATCGCCATATTGTTTGCTGTCCATTATAACAAAAGGAAATGCCATTAATTTTAATATTTTATGTTAATTTAAATAAACCAATAATAAATTAATATTATTTTATGTTTAAAAGTATTTAAATCAATTTCAAACAAAATAAAGCAAAAATTAATTTTTATTTTCTTTATTTGTTTTTTTAAGCGAATTTAAAATATGAAGGTATTATCATAATACTTTTCCCTTAGAACTTTCCCTTTAAGATATCAATTGATATAAATTTATATACATGCATATATGAGTATTTCTATTAAGGGGCGCCATTTTATTTTAATTATCTGTAAGTTATACCTATCCACATCTATAGATATATATAACCATATTTGGTAAATTATAATTATATAGAGTTAAAATAAACTTAAACCGGTTAATTTTTGTTTAAGTTGGCTTAAGAGTTAAAAAGGGTAAAATATACCAAAAACTACCAAATATTACCTTATTTTTAACCAAAAGGTTATATTTAACATAAAATTAATTTTACCATAATTGAATTCCCCACTTACTACAAAATAACGTTATAAGTTAACCAGGCATAACGTAAATTTAACGTTAATTTAATCAGTTGTGCTACTTGGGTATAGGGTGGTAAGACTCGCAAAATGTCCGTTCGACTTTTTTATTTTATTTAAATTCTAAATTGCGAATGTTGTTTAAAAGTTAGTAAAACCATAAACTTGTATCTAATAAACCATTTTATAATGACCTATGATATAACAAAATCCAATTGCGTGGCGGTTGCTTATATTTTCACGATTAGATGGGTGACATTTTTTAAAACTTCCAAGTTTCAGAATTTCTACATTTTCAAAATTTTGAATCTTTAAATTTTCAAAATACAAACAGGAACTAGTCAGTAACTAATTAGTAACTAGTAAACATTAAAAAAAAACGGTAGTTGATCTGAACTTTTGATTGACAAAATCTGGCGTTTATATTACGTTTTCCATTTTGAGTAGAATGTATTTCAGAAGGATCCAATTACTTAAATACATTAAATAAAAATATTTGGGAATATTTATTTTCTAATTAATTTATAGAATTCATTGCTTGGTAAAAAAATATTTTTTTAAGAAGCATGCATAAAGAAATGAAAATACCCAAAAATATTACAATAAAAAATCAAAAAAAATTATAAAAATAATTATTATTCTATTTTTTTTAGATTAAAAAATTGTTTTGTTACGAAAAGTATATTAAAGAACTTTTTTGAAGGATAGTTTTCTTTTGCCTTTTGATATATTAGAAAAGACGCAGGTTTATAAATATAGCCACGTAAGATAAAAGTGACATGCCAATTTGTTCAAACAAAACACGCACGTCAGTCCTAATTTGTCCCATTTTTTTGGGCACACTGCTGTTTAACACAGTTTTTGCTTTAATAAATTATTTTTACCACATATATTTTTTTATTTTTATGTTATAAGACTAAAAACTTGTTAGTAAAATGATTATAAATTTTATTAATTTTTCATTCAACTAATATGTACAGCGTGATCCCCTATAATGTCGCTCCCCTTTAACTTTTATATTTTAAGTGTCCCAAAAAATTTAAAAGTGTGGTTATGTAGGTACTAAAAAATATTTTTTTCTACGTATAAAGAAAATTGGAAAATTGTTCAGTATACATGGAAAAACAAAAAGTTTATTTTTTTATCAATGGATCACCCTATATATGTACTTATTTTTCGATTCCTTGTAAAATTCTAAGCATATTTCATATAATAT